CTGAGGAAGATCGGCTCTGAGCTAACATCTATTGCCAATCCTTTTTTATTCCCCCAAAGCCCCAGCAGATAGTTGTATGCCATAGTTGCACATCCTTCTAGTTGCTGTATGTGGGACGCGGCCTCAGCATGGCCGGAGAAGCGGTGTGTTGGTGCACACCTGGGATCTGAACCTGGGCCGCCAGTAGCGGAGCGTGCGCACTTAACCGCTAAGCCACGGGGCCGGCCCCTGGACTGTTTTATTCTCTAATGAACCAAAACTAAAACTAAAGGAGGATAGAGATTATCCCACAGGAGTGATATCTGAGAGTATAGTTAACATTTTAATTTCTTTCTGAGCACTAAGTTGCCTGTATATGGGGCAAGTGGTTTTTAATTCATTCACTAATTCAAAATGTTATTAAGCCCCAATCTGAGCCAAGTACTGTGCTAGGTACTGAGGTATGCAGTTATTAAAGACAACCCTTCACTCAAGTAGCATCGAAGCTAGTACATAGACGGCAAGAAAATAATTATAATACCGCATGTTGTTACAATCTAAGGACCAGGTGCCAGTTTAGGGGTTGAGAAAAAGCCTCCTCGGGGCTGAAGGAGTAGGAGTAAGGCAGGTAATAAAAGGCCAATGGTATTCCAGGTAAAGGAAACAGTATATGCAAAGGCACAGACACTGGAAAATAAACTGTAGGTGTGGGAGTGGCTAAATTTTAGGAAGGCCGCCATCCTCAGGGATGTTTAAGATCGCAATTAGTGTGCTTGCCTCAGGTTTCCCAAATAATTTATTTGTGATATGGACCAGTGTTAGAATAATGTATAACAAAACAGTATACTAAAGAGGCTTTCTACTGTCTGTATATAAGGATCACTTTAAACTTCATGCACTTGACTACTCTCAAGTGGTACTTGTTTGTAGATATTTGATGGGAATAGTTAAGAAGGTTTTTTATCTGATAAACCAGTATCAAATTATCAATATGGGGGAGAAAAGATATATTCTTTAGGAAAATTATTTAGATAAGACCATTTTCTTAGACCAGTGGTTCTCAAACTTTAGAGTACACCAGAATCCCCTGGAGGCCTTGTTAAAAATGCAGACTGCTGGCCCCATCCCAAGTTTCGGATTCATCAGGTCTTGGTAGGGGCTGAGAATTTGCATTTCTAACAAGTTCCAAGGTGATGCTGATGCTGCTGGTTGGGCACCAACCACACTTGGAGAAACACTGGTCTGCAGACTTCTTTGAAGACACTGCAGTCACAGGACTGAAAATATTAATCACATAAGCTCTTATGTGTTAACCATAAATCAGAGTTTAATGCTCTCAAAATAACAGATTGCACCCAAGATGTTTTCTAACTAACCTTAGTTAAATTAAGGTCCCTTAGCAGGGACCTTAAATCTCATTCACCCCCCAGGCCCTTGCCTCCTTAGCTTTATCCTCTGGGCTTCGAAAAGTAATGTAATTTAAATAATTTATTCCCATACTGAAAGCCTTGTTTTTGACAAGCGCACTCTCTCCTGTACTCTGGTGCTTTCTGAAATATTCTGTTATGTAAGGAACAAATTACTCCCAAATTTAAGCAGATGTCAACAGCTATTACCCTCGTGAAAGCTGCTACTGAAAGTGTGGAGAGTGATCTTTAATGTTTTCTCTTTCTGATGAAGGGGAAATCAGGCAAAATAAATGTCAGTCTGAGGGGCCAGATACTTGCAGTTGAATTTAAATAATGAAATAAAATGTCAATACTTTTAGGGAACATTTGTCTTTTTTAAAAAGGCTTTCTTTGCTTCCCAAAACATATATGGCATTTTGGCTAAATGAGCTTTTGCTAATATACCCACTGAGCGCGTTCACAGAAACCTTCAAGCTAACCAAGCCTCAGAGTAGCCTCAGGTTTTTTAAATGACAAAATGCCTGTGGTTAAACAAAACATAAGCAGCGAAGCTTCATTTTCACCCAGAAGAGCCTGTTCCCCACTTGCCTTGTTTTGAAAAACGCTGCTGGCTGAGGGAGCCTCTAGTACAATGACTCTGCAGTTATTTTAAGTATCCGTGTGGGAGGGATGGAGGACGGAGTGGACACAAGGTTGATAAATTCCCTTACCCACCTCTGGAGGAGAGGAACTCTGGGCACGATGCTGCCTTATTTACCCAGCGAAAAGTGGAATCAATTAGATTTGGCCCAGGGAAAAGGTTGGGGTGGGGGAGGGAAGGAAAAGGAAAAAGAGAACATTAAATTGAAAATATTTCCATTTGTCCATAATTTTTGAAGCAAAACCACACAGCAAGCAATAGGATATTTTAAAAAAAATTTAGTGAATATATCACCATTCATTCATCTCTTTCCTGTTTCAGTGCTCTTGATAAATTGAGCTGAAATATCTGCATAGCTCTTATCATCTGCGTGCAATTGGGGCTGTCAGAGGCATGATGGAGAGCAACCTAAGCCAAGCCGAGTTAGAAGCAACAGATTTCACTCTGGGCAACATTTTCCTTCCTTCTTTCTTTCTTTTTTTTTTTTTAATTTCCTGCTAGACTTTCTCCCTTTTGCTTAAATAAAATTGCTATCATAAAGTATGTTCATTTTTTTTTTTGCTTAAGTGCCATAGCCAGAACTGCATCCTTATTTAGATTTAACATTAAGAATAAAATAGTAATTTTAAAATTTAATTCCATACTCCTCTTTTTTTGAAATTTCAGTAAGTGTTTTTTCTTTTCTTTTTAAAAAACAATATAAGAAACATTTAGCTATTAATCTTCATTGGCCCTAACAAAAAGAATTCATTTCCAAACGTTGAGAAAAGCTTGAAAGAGGCTGTGGTTAGGGGATGGGGAATGGAGATAAGCGTTTGTAATTATCACAAGTGAAAGAGTGAAACTTTTTTACTAAGAAAAAAAATCAAGGCGACGTCTTTAATCTTCCCTCGAAAGTTATTTAATTCAAACTAATAATAATTTTACCACTTTTCATTGCCACTTTTTTCACATTTGTATGTCCACTTTCTTTTTTTTTCTTTTTTTGAACAAGCCTCTAAATTTGCTGTTCAGAAATATAGTCTCTCTATGATGACTGCACCCTAAAGTCATGTGTAAACTTGAAATCATTACTATGAGTATCCAATGTTTTTTGTTTTCTTTTTTGTCTTGTAGTCTCTACTCATTTCCTAAGTTACTTAGACAAATTCTCTCCCTTCAGTGAAGTTATGTCATACATCTGTAACACAGATTCTTTCTTTTTTTTAATTTTTAAATAAATTTATACCCCCTTCACCCATTTCTCCCACCCCCCACCCCCTACCTCTGGCAACTACCAATCTGTTCTCTGTATCTATGAGCTTGGGGTTTTTTTTGTTGTTTTTTTTTTTAGATTCTACATATAAGAGAGATCATACGGTATTTGTCTTTCTCTGTTTGACTTATTTCACTTAGCATAATGCCCTCCAGGTCCATCCCTTGTGTCGCAAATAGCAGGATTTCCTTCTTTTTTATGACTGAATAATATTTCATTATATATACACCACAATTTCTTTATCCATTCATCCATCAATGAACACTTAGGTTGTTTCCATATCTTACTATTGTAAATAATGTTGCAATGAACATGGGGGTGCATACATCTTTTTGAGTTAGTGTTTTTGCTTTCTTTGGATAAATACCCAAAAGTGGAATTCCTGGATCATATGGTAGCTCTATTTTTAATTTTTTGAGGAACCTCCATACTGTTTTCCATAGTGGCTGCACCAATTTCTATTCCCACCAACAGTGCACAAGGGTTCTCTTTTCTCCACATCCTGGCCAACAGTTGTTATCTCCTGCCTTTTTGATAAGTCATTCTAACAGGTGTGAGGTGATGTCTCCTTGTGGTTTTGCTTTGCATTTCCCTGATGATTAGTAATGTTGAGCATCTTTTCATGTACCTGTTGGCCATCTGTATGTCTTTTTTGGAAAAATGTCTATTCAGATCTTTTGCCCATTTTTAAATTGGGTTGTTTATTTTTTTGCTATTGAGTTGTATGAGTTCTTTATATATTTTGGATATTAGCCCCTTATCAGATATATGATTTGCAAATATTATCTCCCATTCAGTAGGTGGCCTTTTCATTTTGTTGATGGTTTCCTTTGCTGTGCAGAAGCCTTTTAGTATGACGTAGGCCCACTTGTTTATTTTTGCTTTTGTTACTTTTGCTTTTGGTATCAGATTCAAAAAAGCATCACCAAGACCTATGTCAAGGAGCTTACCACCTACGATTTCTTCTAGAAGTTTTATGGTTTCAGGTCTTACGTTCAAATCTTTAATCCATTTTGAGTTAATTTTGTGTATGGTGTAAGATAGTGATCAAGTTTCACTCTTTTGCATGTGCCTGTCCAGTTTTCCCAACCCCATTTATTGAAGAGATTGTCCTTTGCCCATTGTATATTTTTGGCTCCTTGTTGTAAATTAAATGACCATATATGTGTGGGTTTATTGTTAGGCTTTCTATTCTGTTCCATTGATCTATGTGTCTGTTTTTATGCTAATACCATACTGTTTTAATTACTAGAGCTTTGTAATATAGTTTGAAATCAGAGAGCATGATGCCTCCAGCTTTGTTTTTCTTTCTCAAGATTGCTTTGGCTATTTCAGTTTTTTTGTGATTCCATACAAATTTTATGATTATTTATTCTATTTCTTTGAATAATGTCATTGGAATTTTGATAGGGATTGCATTGAATCTGTAGATTGCTTTGAGTAGTGTGGACATTTTAACAATATTGATTCTTCCATTCAATGACCACGGAATATGTTTCCACTTATTTGTGTCTCCTTCAATTTCTTTCACTAATGTCTTGTAGTTTTCAATATATAGGTCTTTCACCTCCTTGGTTAAATTTATTCCTGGATATTTTATTCTTTTTGATGCAACTATAAGTGGAATTGTTTTCTTTATTTTTCTTTCTGATAGTTCATTATTAGTATATAGAAATGGAACAGCTTTTTGTGTATTGATTTTGTATCCTGCAACTTAGTGAATTCATTTATTAGTTCTAACAGTTTTTTGATGGAGTCTTTAGAGTTTTCTCTATATAGTATCATGTCATCTGCAAATAGTGACAGTTTTACTTCTTCCTTTCCAATTAGGATGGCTTTATTTCTTTTTCTTGCCTAATTGCTCTGGCTAGGACTTCCAACACTATGTTGAATAGAAGTGGTGAGAGTAGGCATTCTTGTCTTGTTCCTGACATTAGAGGAAAGGCTTTCAGCTTTTCACTGTTGAGTATGATGTTAGCTATGGGCTTGTCATATATGGCCTTTATTATGTTGAGGTACATTCCCTCTGTACCCACTTTGTTGAGAGTTTTTATCATAAACGGATGTTGAATTTTGTCGAATGATTTTTCTTCATCTATTGAGATGATCATATGATTTTTATCCTTCATTTTGTTAATGTGGTGTATTGCATTGACTGACTTGTGGATGCTGAACTATCCTTGCATCCCTAGGATAAATCCTACTTGATCATGGTGTATGATCCCTTTGATGTATTGTTGAATTCAGTTTGATAATATTTTCTTGAGGATTTTTGCATCTATGTGCATCAGGGACATTGCCTGTAATTTTCTTTTCTTGTGGTGTCCTTGTCTGGTTTTGGTACAGGGTAATGCTGGCCTCATAAAATGAGTTTGGAAAGAGTTCCCTCCTCTTCTATTTTTTGGAAGAGTTTGAAAGGGTTTGGTATTAATTCTTCTTTGAATGTCTGGTAGAATTCACCAGAGAAGCCATCTGGTCCTGGACTTTTGTTTATTGGGAGGTTTTTGATGACTGATTCAATCTCCTTACTAGTAATTGGTATGTTTCAGATTTTCTATTTCATCATGATTCAGTCTTGGTAGATTGTATATTTCTAGGAATTTATCCATTTCTTCTAGGTTGTCCAATTTGTTGGCATATAATTGTTCATAGAAGTCCCTTATGTTCTTAGTAGCCTCTTAAGTTTTTTTTTTAAACCTGGAAAACACTATATATACTATTTGTACATCTCTTGGTGAGGTGCTTTCTCCTTGCAAACTTGCCCATGTCAGAACTTCCCTGCATCTAGTCCCTTGCACAGGGACTCCCCTCATCCTTGCTGCCCACCCCCCCTATAATAGGTCAGGAGTCATGAGCCCTGACCTTCTTTCCCAAGCCCCTCCCAGAACATCAGATTAGAGAGGAAAGGAAGAAACAAAAATAATGAAATAGCCACCTTCTCAAATGTCAGTACCCTGACATTAGAATCATGTAATTTAAATGTAGCCTCATAAATTTTAGACCCAAGTCATAATACCTAAAGAATACCATAATATCGTACATACCATAATACTTAAAGAAAATATCTCTGACAACAGAGAAGAAATTTGTCAAATGCATGAGCATCAAAAATAAATGAAGCATAAGTGGATTAGTGTGAGTATTCTTGCTATAGAGTTTGAGAGAATCTAACCCAAATAATTATTTCTGTTTTTTAATATACTGCAAATTATCCATAACTAATGGCTTTGAGGATTAAATTCTATTGCTATTAAAATACAATGATAGGGCCGGCCCCGTGGCTTAGCAGTTAAGTGCGTGCGCTCCGCTGCTGGTGGCCCGGGTTCGGATCCTGGGCGCGCACCGACACACCGCTTCTCTGGCCATGCTGGGGCCGCGTCCCACATACAGCAGCTAGAGGGATGTGCAGCTATGACATACAACTATCTACTGTGGCTTTGGGGGGAAAATATAAATAAATAAAATCTTTAAAAAAAATACAATGATAACTATTGTATTTTATAAATTCTGAGGTGCAATTTTTTTTAACATTTTTACATCTAGCATTACCCTGATACCAAAATCAGGATGAATCTTACTGTCAACGGTGTATTGTGGTTTTATTGGCAATTTTTTTTTTACTTTTTAGTAGCACATAAAACAATACAGCTTATATTCAACGGTATCTTTGATTTGGTGATATGTGTAAATATCTACAATAGGAAAGAACTTTAGCATGAAGCATTTCAACTAACAAATCATATTTTGAGTGACTTACTAAGTACAAGGCATTGGGTTTAGGTGATGGGGAGACAAAGATAAATAGAATGTATCCCTGATTTCAGAGTTAACAGTATAGTAAGGGAGAGTCAACATAAGCAACTAAATAAGTACAAAATTTAGTGCTGTGGGAGCACAAAGGAGAGAGAAAGTCATCCTAATTAAGGGATCAGAGAAGGAGGCCCATAGAAGAGCTGATTTTTGAGATGAGTCTTGAGGGATGAGAAGGCTTCCATCAAGGACATTTGGTGTAGGTGGATATAGATGTAGAAGGTTGAAGAAGCAGGATCTAGCCTGAGGAAGAGGAGATGCTAATCCATAGAGTATGGAAATTGCTCAAGAAATATCAGAGTTGTGATATCATTAACTGCATAAGGAAACCAACTGGGAAGCCCAGTTTTGGAGGGGCTTGGGGGTGAAGGTGAGGGTGGAATTCAGATTGGCTAGGGTATGTTAAGTATGAGGTTATTTATAGGACATTGTAGTGGGATTTTGCTATTTTTGAGTGCCCATCTCACGCTGGGGAATTTCCCCAGTATATAATTCTTGTTAAAAGGTAGAGCCCACTTCCCACTACAAAAGTGAAAAAAGCCAAATATTTGCTTTCCTGCCTCTCTTGCTGCTAGGGTACAGTTGTGAGGCTAGCTTTGGCCAAAAAGACATGCCTGTCCTGGGGTTTGAATCTGAAGTCAGTGATGCAAAAATGCAAGGCCAGGGAGATTCTTTTGGAGCTGATGGCAGTGGCAGGATGCAGTGTCCATTAGAAGCTGCAGTATCCAGCATTCAGCAGTGCTGTCTTCACCATGCTGGTTCTGTTAAGTGATTTTGGCCAGAATCCCAGCTATGAAACCTCCCTACAATCTTGCCTGTTTTCCAACACTGTTTTCCAGCTCTCTCATGAATGCTGGGAGATAGCCAATATCTTTTCAATATGTTGCGTTTCTGCTTAAATCCATGAGTCAGTTTCTGTGGTTTGCAAAGTAAGAACTCTGGGTGCTACAGATATACATCAGAAGATGTCTGACAAAGACTTGGAAAATGAGCACACAGCACAGAAGGAAAGCTGGCCTAGAGAACTAAACATTGGAATCGTTTGACTAAGACTGAAAATTAAAGCTAAGGGAGAAAATACAGATACAGACAAAGAAGAGAAGAAGGGAGAGAATGGCATCATTTTGGGGGGAGGATGGAGCAACAAGACTCAGCACATGTGAGAGAAAGGAAGGAGCAGTCAGAGAGCCATAGAAAGCACATGTCCTGAGGGCCTACTATGTGCCAAGTATCTTGCATAAGCTAACTCATTTAATATTTACAAAAATTGAGGTAGGTATTGCTATCCTAACTTTACAAATGAGGAAAATGAGATGCATAGACATTAATTAACTTTCTGAAAGTCACATAAATAAAAAGTGGTGTGACCAGCATCCAAACTCAGATTTGTCTGATTCCAGCATCACACTGCCTCCATGCCATGAGCTTTAGGAAAGGACTTTGGCAGAGAAGCCAAAGATAAAGCCTTAGTGCAGGGGTTCTCAACCCTGGCTGCACATTGGAAACATCTAGGGAGATATGGAAACTGCTGATGCCTGGGTCCCACCCCTAGAGTTTTTGATGTAATTGGCTTGAGGTGTAGCCTGGGGATTGGCACTTTTAAAACCTTCCCAGGTGGTTCCAATGTGCAGCCAAGGCTGAGAAACACTGTGATAGGTGCTATTTCAGCAGAGAAGTGAAATGGCTTGAAGAGTGAGTGGGAAGTTTGGCTACAGAAGCAGCAAGTGCTGAAGTGAAGTATTAAGAGGGAACAGTAGGTTTGAGGGACACAAGATTCAAGTGGGTTGAAAAGTGAATTGGAAGTGGACACAGAGAAAGTGAGTGTAGGCTATTCTTACAGTAATAACTATGGAAGTGAAGCGAGGCTGATACATAGGTAGCCACTCAGGAGGCTTGTAGGTTGTGAACATGCTTTGGAAGGATAAAGAGCAATGAGAACATCTCTAGGCTGAGAGAAAGGGGACCATGGGAAATGAGAATTGCAAATAAAAGGGAGAGGGTTGAGGTCCTGGAGGACATGGAGTCTGATATTCAAGAGGAGAGAAAGGTTAACCTTAGGAAAGGAATAGGACACTTTTTTCTTTAATAAAGGAGGAAAAGACATTTTTGTGTCAGAGAGGGCTGAGACAGGTGGTGGGAAAGTGGCGGGGAGGTTGAGGAAAGTGAAAGGATGGGATTGGAAAAATGAGTGTAAGGAATGGAATAAAGGAGTCAAAACAAAGGAATTAAATGGCGTTCACCTGAGATCATATAAAAAGAATTTCAAGAGTAATTAATCATTAGAGTTACATGACTTGCTCAAACAATATTTGGAAGTTTTGAGAAGGTGAGAAAATAAATAAGAGCGTTTACCCAGAGCTGGGTATTGCCCAGGCTGATTGAGTGGTAGGCCAAGGAAGGGAGGAACTTTGAGGTGCTACTGAGATCACATACAGATGTACATTTGAAATCTAAGCAAGATTGGTTACTTTGACATGAAATT